CACACGGTCACTCTCCCACGCGGTCACTCACACGGCCACTCTCCCACGTGGTCACTCTCACATGCGGTCATTCACATGGTCACTCTCCCACATGGTCACTCACGCGGCCACTCTCCCACACGGTCATTCACGCGGCCACTCTCCCACACGGTCACTCTCGCGGCCACTCTCCCACGCGGCCACTCTCCCACGCGGTCACTCTCCCACGCGGTCACTCTCCCACGCGGTCATTCACACGGTCACTCTCCCACGCGGTCACTCACACGGCCACTCTCCCACACGGTCATTCACACGGCCACTCTCCCACACGGTCACTCTCACGGCCACTCTCCCACATGGTCACTCACACGGTCACTCTCCCACACGGTCATTCACACGGCCACTCTCCCACACGGTCACTCTCACGGCCACTCTCTCACACGGTCACTCTCCCACACGGCCACTCACACGGTCACTCTCCCACGTGGTCACTCTCACACGCGGTCTCTCACGCGGTCACTCTCCCACACGGCCACTCACGCGGTCACTCTCCCACACAGTCATTCACGCGGCCACTCTCCCACGCGGTCTCTCACACGGCCACTCTCCCACGTGGTCACTCACTGGCCCACTTTCTCACATGTGGTCTCTCACACGGCCACTCTCCCACGCGGTCACTCACATGGCCACTCTCACACACGGTCACTCACTGGCCCACTTTCTCACATGTGGTCACTCACACGGCCATTCTCACACGCAGTCACTCACTGGCCCACACGCTCACACACGGTCACTCCCTGGTCCACACACTCACACGCGGTCACTCACTACCATGGCCCACCCAGAAAGCCCAGCCTCTCTCACATCAGAGAGGGAGACAGCAGAGTGTGAAAGGGGATGGCAGGGCGAGAAGGGAGAGGGCAGAAGGAGGGGTTGGGGAACGGAATGAGGGCGGTGAGGAGGAGAGAGCAGGAGGAGGGAGGAGGGTCAGGCAGCAGGAGGGGAAGGGCAATTGGGTGGGTTGAGGCATTAGGAGGGGAGGGCAGGGTCTGTACCTTGGCTATGGCTGTCAAAGGATTCCCAGTCGTATTTCTCCAGGGTCTGAGCGTGCTCTGGCAGTAGTTTCTGCGGTGGGGGCTGTACAGTACAGATAGACTGAGTGAAACTACCCAGGGCAATGCCTGATGGCGTCCGAGCAACAAACACTTTGTAATGAGTTGGTTCATAAGGACAAGGAGCAGGGCGTGGCCATTCAGTCCATCAGGCTACACCATTCAATAAAATCATGGCTGATTGGACTGTCACTTCAAATCCACATCCCTGCTTAACCGTGGTGACCTTTCACTCCCGTTGCTCTACAAGAATCTATTCATCTTAGCCTTCAAAAGATTCAAAGGCTTTGTTTCCACCGCTTTTAATGGGGAGAGTCCCAAAGACACTCTATCCCTTGAGAGAAAAAAATTCTCCTCATCTCCATCCTAAATGGATTGCCTGTTATCTCTAACAGAGGCTCCCACAAAAGTAAACATCCACAAACAATCAGAGAAATGTGGAAACTAGGAGCAGGAGTAGGCCATTCGGCCCTTCGAGCCTGCTCTACCATTCAAGGTGATCATGGCGCTCATCCAACTCAGTCCCCTGTTCCCGCTTTCTCCCCCCTATTCTTTGATCCCTTTAGCCCTAAGAACTGTATCTAACTTCTTCTTGAAAACCATTCAATGTTTTGGTCTCAACCGCTTTCTGTGGCAGAGAATTGCACAGCATCATAACTTTCTGGGGAAGACATTTCTCCTCATCTCTGTCCTAAATGACCTACCGTTCACTCTTATACTGGGACCCCAGTTCTGGACTCCCCGGTCATTGGGAACATCCTTCCTGTCCAGTCCTGCCAGAATTTATAGGTTTCTACGAGATCCCTCCTCATTCTCCTAAACTCGGTGAGTATTTGGTAGGGCCCTGGGGAGTGTTGCTGAACAAAGGGACTTTGGGGTACAAATTCAAAGTTTCTTGAAAACAGAGTCATAGGTAGGCCAGGTCATGAAGAAGGCATTTGGTACATTTTCTTTCATTGGTCAGTGCATTGAATGTAGGAGTTGGGAGGTCATGTTGCGGCTGTACAGGACATTGGTTAGACCACTTTTGGAATATTGTCTTCAGTTCTGGTCTCCCTGCTATAGGAAAGATGTTGTTAAACTTGAAAGGGTTCAGAAAAGATTTACAAGGATGTTGCTGGGATTGGAGGATTTGAGCCATAGGGCAAGGCTGAATAGGCTGGGGTTATTTTCCCTGGAGCATAAGGGGCTAAGGGGTGACCTTACAGAGGTTTATAAAATCATGAGGGGCATGGTTAGGGTGAATAGTCAAGATCTTTTTCCAAGGGTCGGGGAGTCCAAAACTAAACAGCATAGGTTTAAGGTGAGAGGGGAAAAAGGGACCTAAGGGGCAACTTTTTTACGCAGAGGGTGGCGCGTGGATGGAATGAGCTGCCAGAGGAAATGGTGGAGGCTGGTATAATTACAACATTTAAAAAGCATCTGGATGGGTACATGACTAGGAAGGGTTTAGAGGGGTAGGGGCCAGTTTAGGATATCTGGTCAGCATGGACGAGTTGGACTAAAGGATCTGTTTCCGTGCTGTAGAGCTCTATGACTCAAACAGTAGGAATAAATGGGTCATTTTCTGAGTAGCAGGCAGTGACAAGTGGGGTACCTCAGGGCTCTGTGCTTGGACACCAGCTGTTCACAATTTAAATTAATGATTTAGACATTTCCTGTCTGCCAACCAGTTGTCTACCTATGTCAGTACACCACCCCAATCCCGTCTGAGTTAATGTTACATGCTAATGTCTTACGTGGGACCTTGTTAAAAGCCTTCTGAAAGTCCAAGCAAACGTTACCCACTAGCTCTCCCGAACAAGTTACACCCTCGAAAAAGTTCAGTCGATTTCCTTTTGTAGATCCAGGATGACTCTATATCTGTTTTCCATGTTCTCTGCCATTAAATCTTTTATAATGGACTCAGCACTTTCCTTACCACCAATGTCTCCATGTCGTGTTTTTAAATAGCTGCCCTGCAAACCACAGCAACTGGGCTAGAGTGTATATAGTGATCACCAATGCATCCACTATTTCTCGGGACACCTCTCCCCTGTCAAGACCTCTCGAGTTCTCACATGTTTCAATCAAGTCACCTTGACTTCAGTAGGGCCGCCATGTCAGAGCTCGTTCTATCCATTCAGAAAGATGCTGAGAAAAGGGATCTGTCCAAGGCTGGTGCAGTTGGGAAAAGGAGCAAGTCAAACAGCCACGACGGGCAGGAGCAAAGCAGAGATCAAGGTAGGACTGACAAATTAAACTGCATCTATTTCAACGTGAGAGCTCTAACAGGTAAGGCTGATGAACTCCGGGCATGGTTGGGAGCATGGGACTGGGATATCACAGTGATTGTAGAAATGTAGCTCAAGGATGGACAGGACTGGCAGCTTAATGTTCCAGGGTATAGATGCTATAGGAAGTGTAGAAAGGGGGGCAAGAGACGAGGGAAGTGGCATTTTTGATTAGGGATAACGTTACGGCCATACTTAGGAAGGATATTTCACAGAGTACTTCCAGTGAAGGAATTTAGATGGAACTGAGAAATAAGGAAGGGATGATCACCTTATTGGGATTGTACTATAGATCTAGCAGGAAACTGAGAAGCAAATTTGTAAGGAAATCTCAGTTGTCTATAAGAATAATAGGGTGGTTATGGTAGGGGATTTTAACTTTCCAAACATTGACTGGGACTGCCATAGTGTTAAGGGATCGAATGGAGAAGGGATTTGTTAAGTGTGTACAGGAACATTTTCTTATTCAGTATGTGGATGCACCTACCAGAGAAGGAGCGGAAATAAGGCAGGCCAGGTGACTGAGGTGATAGTGGGGGAGGACTTTGGGACCAGTGACCATAATTCTATTTGTTTTAAAATTGTGAAGGAAAAGGATAGACCTGATCTCAAAGTTAAAGTTCTAAATTGGAGTAAGGCCAATTTTGACAGTATTAGGCAAGAACTTTTACAAGTTGATTGGGAGAGGCTATTCAGAGGTAAAAGGACAGTTGGAAAGTGGGAAGCCTTCAAAAATGGGGTAATGAGAGTCCAGAGACAGTACGTTCCTGTTAGGCTGAAGGTCCAGGCTGGTAGGTGAAGGGGATGCTGGATGACTGGAGAAATTGAGGCTTTGGTCATGAATAAGAAGGAAGCATATGTCAGGTACAGACAGCAGGGATCGAGTGAATCCTTAGAGGGGTATAAAGGCAATAGGAGAAATATTTAAGAGGGGAAATCAGGATGGCAAAAAGGGGACATGAGATAGCTTTGGCAAATAGGATTAAGGAGAATCCAAAGGGCTTTTACAAATGCAATAAGGACAAAAGAGTAACTAGGGCGAGAATAGGGCCCCTTAAAGATCAGCAAGGCCGCCTATGTGTGGAACCACAGGAAATGGGGGAGATACTAAATGAGTATTTTGCATCAGGCGTTTACTGTGGAGAAGGATATGGAAGCTAGAAAACTTGAGGAAATAAATAGTGATATCTTGAAAAGGTGTCCATATTAAAGAGGAAGAGGTGCTGGACGTCTTAACACACATGAAGGTGGATAAATCCCTGGGACCTGATCAAGTGTACTCTAGAACCCTGTGAGAAGCGAGGGAAGTGATTTCTGGCCACGTGCTGAGATACTTGTATCATTGATCGCCACAGGTGAGGTGCTGGAAGCCTGGAGGTTGGCTAACGTGGTGCTGCTATTTAAGAAAGGTGATAAGGAAAAGCCAGGGAACTCTCGACCAGTGAGCCTGACATCGGTGGTTCTTGGAGGGAATCCTGAGGGACAGGATTTACATGTATTTGGAAAGGCAAGAACTGATTAGGGATAGTCAGCATGGCTTTGTGTGTGGGAAATCATGTCTCAATAACTTGATTGAGTTTTCTGAAGAAGTGTGACAAAGAGGATTGATGAGGGAAAGAGTGGTGGATGTTGTCTATATGGACTTCAATAAGGCATTCGATAAGGTTCTGCATGATAGACTGGTTAACGAGGTTACATCACATGCAATACAGAGAAAACTAGCCATTTGGATACAAAACTGGCTTGAAGGTAGGAGACAGAGGGTGGTGGAGGGTTGTTTTTCAGACTGAGGCCTGTGATCAGCAGTGTGTCACAAGGATCAGTGCTGGGTCCACTGTTTTTCATCATTTATACAAATGATTTGGATGTGAACACAGGAGGTATGTTTAGTAAGTTTGCAGATGACACCGAAACTGGTGGTGTGGTGGACAGTGAAAAAAGGTTTACCTCAGAGTACAATGGGATCATGATCAGATGGGCAGGTGGGCTGAGGAGTGGCAGATGGAGTTTAATTTAGATAAATATGAGGTGCTATATTTTGGAAAGACAAATCAGAGCAGATGTATATACTTAATGGTAAGGTCCTGGGGAGTATTGCTGAACAAAGAGGCCTTGGCGTACAGGTTCATAGTTCCTTGAAAGTGGAGTCACAGGTAGACAGGTTGGTGAAGAAGGCATTTGGTATGGTGCGTGTATGAAATGAGCTGCCAGAGTAAGTGGTGGAGGCTGGTACAATTACAACATTTAAAAGGCATCCGGATGGGTATATGAATGAGAAGGATTTAGGGGGACATGGGCCAAATGCTGGCAGGCAAATGGGACTAGATTAATTTATGATATTGGCATGGACGAGTTGGACCAAAATGTCTGTTTCCATGCCGTACATCTCTGTGACTCTAAGTCAATACACTCATTCCGGTCTGGTAAACCATCTTTGACCTGCTTCCAATATATTTACATCCTTCCTTAAACAAGCAAACCAATATTGTACACGGTATTCCATGCATGGTCTCACCAATGCCCCGTATAACTAAAGCATGCCCTCCTTTCTCTTGTATTCGCTTTGCAAGAAACTTTAAAGCTAAAATACATTCACAGGGGCCAAAGTTCAATGTTAGGGAGCAAGGAGCAAAAAGTGACTCCTCAGGCAGGTGCCTTACAGTGGCACCTGTTCCACTGCCTGCATGGTGACAGCAAATCAGCAGTGCCCTGTGCCCAATGTTGGGGCTGCCCACAGTAACCGGTGATGATGCCAACAGCAGCAATCGAGACAGTAAAAATGTTAATGAAGCTGTTATTAGAAGTCCAGCTAGTTGCCCTTCAGGGATGGAAACTCACTGTCTTTACCCTGTGCAGCCTTGGTGTGACTCCAGTCCCACAACAACCAAGTATGTTTCGAAATGACCTGTTTGGACACATTATGACCCACCTCTGAGGCAGGTGGGAGTTGAAGCTGGACCTTCTGCCCAAACGTACAGCACACTAGCACTGCACCAACGATCTGACGCCAACATCTTGATATTTCCCTTGCCCTCTTTGAGGCCTAGCAATGCCCTCCATAGCAACAAAGGGAGGGGGTGGGTGCAGCCAGTCAGAGTGTATGAGAGAGGTTACTGTAGGGCAAGGACGCTCACCTGTAGCAGCATCAGCAGTAGGACTCGGGAGACTTCACACCGAGCGATAATGTCCATGAACGCACCTGAAAAGAGCAAAACAGATCAAATTCTCTGCGACTCAAAGCGGGGCTGGACCCTAAAAGAAGCAACACACACTGCAATGAAACACAGAAATCAACTCGATCTCGATCAGAACACTCCTTCCCTCTCCAGCACCAGTAACCAAAGGCTGGCCGAACAGACCCTTTACAAAATGGATCATTATCGAGACAGAGCCCATGGGCACTAAGGTGGGTTAGACTGACCTCTACACAGTACCTGCAGCACGAGGTATCCGTACTCAGACCAGAGAACAGAGAGAGGTATAAAGATTTGACTTTGCCAAAAACAGGATCATTTGATAAAAGAAGCATTTCATTTGTGTACATATCCTTTATATGATTTCCAATAATGCCAATTACCAATGTAAACACATAATGCCATCTCCTACCAGCAGAGGTGATGTACAATACGTTAACAATATAAACAAAAGCTGCCCCCTATTAATCTGAGAATTTAGAACAGGAAAAGTACTGATTGAGATGGACAATAAATTTATTCGAGTTGAGTTATAAACATCTCGAGATGATAAAGCTCATTTCAGTGACGGTGACCACTAATTGGTCATCCATTGTTGTCAAAACCCATCTGGTTCACTAATGTCCTTTAGGGAAGGAAATCTGCCATCCTTACCTGGTCTGGCCTAGACTCCAGACCCACAGCAATGTGGTTGGCTCTTAATTGCCCTCTGAAATGGCTGAGCAAAGCCCATCATTTCAAGGGGCAATTAGGGACGAGTAACAATACGGTGGCCATGCCAGCAATGCCCACATCCTATGAAAGGATGAAGAAAATAAAGGCATAGGAGTTGGGAGAGGCCATTCAGTCCACTTCGCCATTCTAGATCATGGCAGTTCAGCTGCCTCCACCCCATTTTCCCCACTTTCTTTCCATAGCCCTGAACGTCATTAAGTCCCTCAAAATCCACCACTTACTTGTTGCCTATTCAACTGCCCTTTGAGAAGGCAGCAGGGAATTGCCACTGGGCAGCACGCTGGCTCAGTGGTTAGCACTGCTGCCTCACAGCACCAAGACCCAGGTTCGGTCCCATCCTGGGGTGACCATCTGTGTGGAGTTTGCACATTCTCCCCGTGTCTGCGTGGGGTTTCCTTCGGGTTTTCCAGGGCCTCCCACTGTCCAAAGATGCGCAGGCTGGGTGGATTGGCCATGCTAAATTGCCCATTACTGTCCAGGGATGTGCAGGCTGGGTGAGTTAGCCATGGGAGTTGCAGGGTTACAGCGATAGGGTAGGGGTGTGGGTCAGGGATGGGATGCGCGTTGGATGGTCAGTGTAGAGACGATGGGCTGAATGGCCTGCTTCCACACTGTAGGGATTCTATGATTTGGAAGACATGGGAGCGGTTTGCTTGGCCAATACGCGGGATTGAAAGTTGATCATGTTGCTGTGGGTCTGGAGCCAGAACGGGTCAGGATGGCAGATTTCCTTCCCTAAAGGATTTTAGTAAAACCAGATGCAATTTTCTAACAGTCTTAGATATTTCATGGTCATTATTACTGAGACGGATCCTTCAATTTAAGGATTAAATGCAAGGTTAAATGTTTAACACAGAACATAAACATCTCCAGACTAGGAGCATAGCAACGTCCCTGAGTTATCTCACACTCACCTACAGGGGTACAGGTACCTGGCACCTGTAATCCTCTCTCCTGAGCCAGGAGCTGCATTTCTGTGAAGACAGCCAGAGCTCCATCGTAATCCCCTGCAAGATATCCGAAAGTAGCAGCTGAAAACATGGCCATTCACACAGAACCGTGACCCAATGAGAAGAGGAAGCCTGCAGGGACTGAGCTGTTGTAATGCTCAGTCCAGCCTCGGTACTCACGGGTAATTATTTTGCAGGTCGCCACTTTTCCGAGCGACAGGAGACATTCAATGGGAACCTGGGATTGCAACTCAGCCGCCCTCTGAAAATGCACAGAGGCTTCGCCTGGTTTATTCATTTCCTTTGGAGGAAGAAAAGGAGAACGATTGTTCAGCAAAAAGAAATTAATCGCAAAGCTCCTGTTGGTGAGGAACAGGCAGTATGAATGACAGCCACACTGTCAAAACTGGGGGCGAGCAGTGCTGGGGGAGCGCCGCACTGTCGGAGGGCCGCACTGTCGGAGGGTCAGTGCTGAGGGAGTGCCGCACTGTCAAAACTGGGGGCGAGCAGTGCTGGGGGAGCGCCGCACTGTCGGAGGGTCAGCGCTGAGGGAGCGCCGCACTGTCGGAGGGTCAGCGCTGAGGGAGCGCCGCACTGTCAAAACTGGGGGCGAGCAGTGCTGGGGGAGCACCGCACTGTCGGAGGGTCAGCGCTGAGGGAGCGCTGTACTGTCGGAGGGTCAGCGCTGAGGGAGCGCCGCACTGTTGGAGGGTCAGTGCTGAGGGAGCGCTGCATTTCGGAGGGTCAGTGCTGAGGGAGCACCTCACTGTCGGAGGGTCAGTACTGAGGGACTGCTGTACTGTCAAAGAGTGTGGTCACCGGTCAGTGCTAAGGGATGGATGTTATCTTCACCTTCAGTGCGTTTCCAAGCTCCAAGCACAGACTCGCTGCCATGACTGGCTGGTTCAACTCAATGTAGACCTGGACGGAGAGAGCAGGACAGGAAATTATCCGTGATGCATTTCCTCTACCTGAGCAGGTCAGTGATCAGACCTTTTCAGGTTATGAGCTTATTTGATGGCATTCTCGTTTTAGGTCCCTGAATTTAGTGGTAATTTGCTCCCATTCCCTTCTGTCTGAAGGCATTGATTTTGACTGAGAGGGTACTGACACCTAGAAACTGTCAAAGTGTGTGTGGAGACCATGTGAAGCAGTGGTGGGACTGGGACTGGGGTAACACAGCTCTGACTTAATCTATCCTCTACCAGTGGGATTGTGCTCTGTTTCACATTTACTTAAATTCCAACGTATTCTGAGGGGGGTCAGAAACAAACTGAAAATGCTCCTAGTTTGATTGAACTTTGATTTGAGCTATTATTGTCACGCACCGAGATACAGCGAAAAGTATTGTTTTGCGTGCTAACCAGATAAATCATACCTTACATAAATATATCAGGGTAACAGAATATAATGCAGAACATAGTGTTACAGCTACAGAGAAAGTCCAGGGAAAGATCAACTCTGACATATGAGAGGTTCTTTCATTAGTCTGATAACAGTGGAGAAGAAGCTGTTCTTGAATCTGTTGGTACATGTTTCCAAACTTCTGTATCTTCTGCCCGATGGAAGATGGTGGAAGGGAGTATAACCGAGTGGGAGGAGTCTTTGATGATGTTGGCTGCTTTACCGAGGTAAATGTAGACGGAGTCAATGGAAGGAAGGCTGGTTTGTGTGATGGACTGGACTACATTCACAACTCTCTGTAACTTCTTGGTTTCGGCCTGAACACTGGTCAGTGGCTGGTGTCTCAGACTGGGGCAGTGTCTCCCTGTCCTGATCATTCTCTGGGTGACAATGTGCAATGGGTCAGGGGATGAGACTTGTCTGTGAAGGCCCCCACAGTTGACCAGTCAGCTGATGCTTACCGCATGTGGCAACGTTGGATAAGGAGAGCAAGATTGGGCATTACTCAGGGAACCCTTGACCCAGCACAAGAGAAAGGAACTCACAGATTGAAAACTTCCCAATGTGGTTAACGCCATTAATCAGAGTCACCTACCACTCCCAGAACTTTCTACTGCACTTGACGTTAACCCCGGGCCACTGCAATCTAGATTCAGAAACCCCCATTTCGAAGAGGAGCAGGGACCGTTCCCTCCGGTTGACATTTATCCCTCAACCAACGCCCCTGCCACAGGCCCCTGATGCAGTCACTTTGCCTCGGCCTGCTTGTGGGATCTTGCTGTGCCTAACTGGCTGCAGCGGACCCTACTTTCGAACAGTGCACACATTTAACGCTGTGGCCATCATGGGGGTGGGCGCTGTCCAAATGCTGACCTTTATCGCAAAGCTGTAGCAGTTGGTGGCGGCCTGCAGGTGCTCCTCGAAACCTGGGCACTGGAGTCTCTGAGTCTCCTTCTCGGCCTGCAGGAAGAGCCGGGCAGCGTCAGTCAGAGCTAGGGCCTCCCCAGCAGCATTGAACAGTGTCTGCTCGCACCTAAGGACACGGGACAGAGACACAGAAACAGTCAGCACACCCCCGATTCCAACTTCACATCCCCAGGCCCCATTGGGAGATCTCCTGGCCCTGAGGGGCAGGGACATTACAGAGCTCGGCGCAAATCAGAGTAACGTCTATTACATGGACACAGCCCCCTCAGTGATTACTTGGAGCTCTGTCTCTCTCAACAGGAAAAAGGGGGTGAAATCCCTTCTGTTAAGAACTGTCCGTCCTGCCCCTACAGGCCAGGGTGGAGCAGGGGGGAGAAGAGTTGATGTCCCGTGAGACACAAAAACCTCCTCAGCTGGAGGGAGAGGTCACCCACCGGCAGCTTGGAGCATGAACGGTGACCCACTGGGTCCTCCTCACAGCCAAATCCCAACCCTGAGAAACACCCACAATGTCCCATCTCCAGAATGCCCAATGTACCCACACTGTCTCTCTCCCCACCCCGTGCCCACATGACCTCCCTCACCCTGTACCCACACTCTCTCTCTCCCCCCCCCCCACCCACACACTGTCGCTCTCCCCTCCTGTACCCACCTGTCTCCCCCACCTGCTGTGCCCACAAGGGTCCTCTTCCCTGCTGCCCCTGGCTCCGAAAGCCTTCTCTGCTCCAGGCTGTGCTGCCCAGATACCCCACCAGCTGATGCCACCCGAGTGTAGAGGGTGGGCAGCTCTTCCCAAAGTGAACCAACCTCTTACCGTGCGACAGCCAGGTTACAGAAGCCAGCGTACTGCAGGCACTCCTCCTGTTTCAGCTCCTTGGCCAACAGCCCTGCAACACAACAGAGTCAATAAAACTTACACAAAGAGCTGAGCCAACAGCTCCATCCACGTCACTTAATTTAAAAACAATTCTTACATGGGCTCTGCATGTCACCTTCCAGGCCAACATTTGTCGCCCCTGTCCCTAACGGCCCTGGAACTGAGCGGCTTATAGAGTCATGCAGCACAGAAACAGACCCTTTGGTCCAACTCAACCCATGTCGACCAGATTTCCTAAATTAATCTAGTCCTATTTGCCAGCATTTGCCCCAAATCCCTCTAAATCATTCCTATTCATGTACCCACCCAGATCCCTTTTAAATGTTGTAACTGTACCAGCCTCCACCACTTCCTCTGGAAGCTCATTCCATACCCACACCACCCACTGTGTGAAAAAGTTATCTCTCAGGTCCCTTTTAAATCTTTCCCTTTCCCCTCTCACCTTAAACCTATACCCTCCACTTTTGGACTCCCCCACCCTCGGGAAAAGACATTGGCTATTAACACTATACATACCCCTCATGACTTTATAAACGTCTATACAGTCACCCCTCAGCCTCCGATGCTCCAGGGAAAATAGCCCCAGCCTATTCAGCCTCTCCCTATAGCACAAACCCTCCAATCCTGGCAACATCATTGTAAATCTTTTCTGAACCCTTTCAAGTTTCACAACATCCTCCCTATAGCAGGGAGACCGTCCTGCCCATGCGGTGGAGGCCAGGGCTGAATGGAGAGAATTAATATCCTGTGAGACACGAAAACCCCCTCAGCTGGAGTATTCTAAAAGTGGCCAAACCAATGTCCTGTACAGCCACAACATGACGCTCCAATTCCTCTCTACTCAATGCAATGACCAATGAAGGCAAGCGTACCAAATGCCTTCTTCACCAACCTACCTGCCTGCCTGCGACTCTACTTTCAAGGAACTATGCACTTGTACCCCTAGGTCTCTTTGCTTGCTTGGTCATGTCAGAGGGCATTAAAGAGAAAACCACATTGCTAGGAGTCTGGAGTCACATGTCAGCCAGAGCGGGTAAGGAGGGCAGATTCCCTGTCTGTAGGGCAAATAATGGACTCAATGATTTTTTATGGTCCCTGTAATAGTGACTTGACATTAAAATCCTGATTATAAAACAATAAAAGGAAGGACTCAATGAGAAGGATGAACAGCCCATGATTAACAAAAGGAGGGTATCCGAAGAAAAACTAACCTGTACAAATCAGTGAAAACTAATGGTAAAGCAGACGATACTGAATTTTATTTTCAAGAACCAGCAGCGGATTATTTATAAGCTGATAAACAGGCAGAAAACTGGTCATGAAAGAAAATTGGCAAGAAATTTAAAAACAAACAGCAAGAGCTTCTGCAGCTGTATAAAAAGGAAAAGAATAGCTAAAGTAAATATGGGATCCTTGGTGGTTGCAATTGGGGAATTGATAACAAGTAACAGGAAAAGGCAGATATTGAAACCAAAAGTTTGTATCATGCTTCACAGAAGAGACTATAAACATCCCAAAGATAACAGATAAACAAAGTGCTAATGGGAGGAAAAATTTTGTAACGGTCTCTACGTTAAGAGACAAAAGAAGTGGAGCAAACTAATGGGACTGAAGCCTGTCAAGTCACTGGAACCTGATGGCCTGTATCCAAGGGTTTGAAAGGAAGTGGCTGCAGAGATAGTGGAGGCATTGGTCAAAATATTTCAGAATGCACTGGGTTCCAGTGGGTTGGAAAACTGTTCATGTCACACCCCTGTTCAAGAAGGGAGGGAGACAGAAAGCAGGAAACTACAGGGCAGTTAGCCTAACATCTGTTGTTGGGAAAATCTGGAATCTATTATTAAGGAAAAAACAGCAGGCCAATTAGAAAAGCTCATCACAATTAAACAGAGACACCATGGTTTTGTGAAAGGGAACTCATGTTTGACAAATTTGCTCGCATTCTTTGAGGATAAAACAAGCAGAGGTGATAAAGAGGAAACAGTGAATGTAGTGCATTTAGGTTTCCAGAACGCATTTGATCAGATACAACATAAAAGGTTATTGCACAAGATAGGAGGTCACGGTGTAATGTATTAGCAAGGAGTGAGGATTGGCTAAAACACAGAAGGCAGAGAATCAAGATTAATGGGTCTTGCTCAAGTTGGAAAGATGTAACTAGTGGAGTGCCACCAGGATCAATCCTAGGACCTCAATTATTTACTCTTTCTATTAAAGAATTGGAGGAGGTGGCAGAATGTAATGTGCAATGTTTTCAGAAATCCAGGTCAGTCTCTGGAATAGCCAGAAATGAAGGGCAGTGAACAGGGAGCAGTGGAAGCATCACAGACACATACAGCATGGAAACTGACCCTTCGGTCCAACCAGTCCATACCGACCATAATCCCAAACTAAACTAGTCCCACCTGCCTGCGCTTGGCCCATGTCCTTCCAAATCTTCCTTATTCATGTACTTACCCAAATGTCTTTTAAACTTTGTAACTGTACCTGCATCCACCACTTCCTCTGGAAGTTAATTCCACACACGAACCACCCTCTGTGTAAGAAAGTTGCCCCTCATGTCCTTTTTCACTCTTTCTCCTCCCACCTCAAAGATATGCCCCCTAGTTTTGAAATACCCCACCGTAGGGAAAAGACACCTGCCATTCGCCTTATCTATGCCCATCATGATTTTATAAACTTCTATAAGGTCAGCCCTTAAGCTCCCACACTCCAGTCAAAGAAGTGCCAGTCGATCCAGCTTCTCCTTATAACTCAAAGCCTCCATTCCTGGCAATATCCTAGGAAATCTTTTCTGAACCCTCTCCAGCTTAATACTATCTTTCCCATAACTGGGCAACCAGAACTGGGTACAGTATTCCAGAAGACGCCTCATCAACATCCAGTACAACCTCAACATGACTTGCCAACACCTACACTCAAAGCTCTGAGCAATGAAGGCAAGTGTGCTAAACACCTTCTTAACCACCCTGTTTACATGCAACATAAATTTTAAAGAATTATGAACCTGAATTGCTAGGTCCCTCTGTTCTACAACACCACTGAAGGCCTTACCATTATGTGTATAAATCCTGCCCTTGTTCATTTTACCAAAACGCAATACCTCACATTTATCCAAACTACACTCCATCTGCCACTCTTCAATCCATTGAGAGGGAAGAGCTACAAGATCTACAAACAGAAGCCTCCCTGTGCTGGTGCTGGATAATCACTGAACCACGTTCATCCAGTGATTAGTGCTGACTGGCTGAAGATCATGAGGGTTTCAGCAGTAGAGAGAAATAAGAAAATAATTTTCAAAAAAAAGGAATCAGATTAATAGCTGAGGGGTAAGAATTTGTCCAGAAGACATCCATTCGGCCCACTGTAGCACTGTTGGCCCTTGGAACGAGCTCTATAACTTTCCCAAAGACTTTGATGGGCTGAATACCAGCCTTCTCTGTTCTAAGCTGCTTTCATCTTGCTCACAGCAAATCTGTAATACCAGCAGCAACCAACAGGTGGAAGGATTCTCCTCAAACAAGGACTGGATGTTTAAGCTTGATTTCCCAAAAACAAAATGGTCAGACTCGGGTTAGAGGTTGCCCAGTTAGGACAGAGATGGAGAGGAATGTGTTGCTCTCAGAAGGTAGTGAATCTGTGGACTTCTTTAACACAGAGGGCTGGTGAGACTGGATCATTACGTATTTTCAAGGCAGAGAGAGACAGATTTTTAATCAGTAAGGGAATCAAGGGTCATGGGGAAAAGGCAGGAAAGTGGATTTGAGGATTATCAGATCAGCCATGATCCTAAGTGGTAGTGTAGACTGGATGGGCCAAATGGCCTATTTCTGTTTGTATGTCTGGTGGCCAACAGCGAACAGCAAGAAAGAATCAAACTAAGAGTCCCACTAACACTAAACTATTCTAAATGAAGCTGTTCCCAAAGTTGTATAGAGCCAGGAAAATGTAAATGGATGTTAGATTGCTTGTCCTCAATGTGCAAATGTTATCAACATTTGTGCACAAAGTCCTGCATGTTAAAGGATTTAATTGCTGAAAAATAAAATGGAGTTCTAGAGTCACAGAAACAGACCCTTCGGTCTAACCAGATATCCTAATCTAGTCCCATTTGCCAGCATTTGGCCTATATCTCTCTAAACCCTTCCAATTCATATACCCATCCAGATGACTTTTAAAAGTTATTATTGTACCAGCTTTCACTACTTCCTCTGGCAGCTTATTTCATACACATGCCACTCTCTGTATGAAAACGTTGCCCTTCAGGTCTCTTTTAAATCTTTCTCCTCTTACATTAAACCTATGCCCTCTAGTTTTAAACTCCCCTTCCCTGGGAAAAAGACCTTGGCTATTTACCCTCTCCATTCCTGTCATGATTTTATAAATCTCTATAAGGTCATCCCTCAGCATCTGATGCTCCAGGGAAAATAGCCCCAGCCTATTCAACCTTTCCCTACAGCTCAAACCCTTCAACCCCAGCAACATCCTTGTAAATCTTTTCTGAACCCTTTTCAAGTTTAACAATATCTTTCCTATAGCAGGGAGACCAGGACTGAACACAATAAACCAAAAGTGGCCTAACCAGTGTTCTGTACAGCTGCAACATGACCTCCCAACTCCTATACTCAATGCACTGACCAATAAAGGCAAGTGTACCAAACACCTTCTTCACCATCCTGTCTACCTGCAACTCCATTTTCAAGGAACTATGAATCTGCACCCTTAGGTCTTTTTGTTCGGCAACACACCCAGGATCTACCATTAAGTGTACAAGTCCTGCCCTGATTTGTCTTTCCAAAATGCAATACCTCATATTTATCTGAATTAAACTCCATCTGCCACTCCTCAGCCTATCAGCCCATTTGATCAAGATCCCATTGTACTCTGAGGTAACTACACCTCCAATTTTAGTGTCATCTGCAAACTTATTAACCATACCCACTATGTTCACATCCAAATCGTTTATATAAATGACGAAAAACAGTGGACCCAGCACCGATCCTTGCAGCACACTGCCGGTCACAGACCTCCAGTCTGAAAAGCAACCCTCCACCACCACCCTCTGTCTCCTAACTTCAAGCCACCCACACACAGGAGTTTTGTACATAAAGCACTTGAATGAAAGTTTGTCCTATCAGTTAACACTTTTAACTATTGGTGATTATGCAAAGTAATTCACTATCCTCTCTCAATGTCTCACTCGATGCTCACTCTTCCAAGGTGAGCCCTGACTGCTGCCAGCTATTCCACAAGGGAGGCATCTCTTAGGATTTCACTCATTCCTGGGGTTGGGCTGCAGTTTCCAAGCAGAGCAGGCTTGCAGCAATCCCACAGCAGGAAAATATTGCGACTCGAATTCTCCTCCAACTGCTCCCCATGAACTGCTGCCACTTACCAAACTGCTCGCTTGCTTCCGCCACATTTGGTTTTCGGAGAAACCGCCTGCAACACAAAACCAAAGAGTCAGGAAAAGGACTCCGCCACAGCAAGTACCAAAAGTAACACATGAATCACTAATGGTCAGCCTGCAGGCCCAGCATGCGACTGCGAAAGCAGATGGGACGTTCTACTGCAGCTGTACAGAATCTTGGTGAGACTACATCCTATGACACAGTACACAGTACATTGTCTTTAATTGAGAAAGCACACAGAAGGTTCACTCGATCCATTTTTGGGATGAGGGTGTCACACCATTGGGTGGCACAGTGGCTCAGTGGTTAGCACTGCTGCCTCACAGTGCCAGGAACCCTCAGGTGACTGTTTGCGTGCGCGTTCTCCCCGTGTCTGCGTGGGTTTCCTCCGGGTGCTCCGGTTTCCTCCCACAGTCCAAAGAAGTATCGTTTAGGTGGATTGGCCATGCTAAATTGCCCGCAGTGTTCAGGGATGTGCAGGCTAGATGGATTTGCCATGAGAGATGAACTGATAGGGTGGGTCTGGGTGGGATGCTCTTCAGAGGGTTGGTGTGGACTCATTGGGCTGAATGGCCTGCTTCCACACTGTAAGGATTCTTTAATCCTACAAAGGAAAATTGAATAGGTTGGTTCTTTACATTTTGGAATCGCAAAGGAGAGGTGATTTCATTGGAACGTATAAGAATCAGATCTTTCAACCCAATGACTTTGAAGGAAATTGCATCCACACACAGGGATATGGAATTGCCAAAAAATCAAAAACATTTGCACCCACCACCCCACTGAACCCCATCCTCCTGCCTGAACCTCTTCCTCCAAGCTCAACTCAGCCCAACTCTGCTGCAGTCTAATCCTTCATCTCTTTCCCACCCACACCCTCCACAGCTTCCAAACCGCTCCCTCTTCTTTCTCCCTCTCATTCCCCCCTGCCCACAATGAACATCGACTCTCTCTTGCTTCGTCTACCTTAAAAAAACTCTTCTCCCCCAGAGCCCTTGCTCACTTCCATCATACCC